TAATCGTCATCAACTGAAGTTGGCGGCACACTGTCCACATCCCAGCATATAATCGTCGTCAACTGAAGCTGGCGGCACACTGTCCACATCCCAGCGTATAATCGTCGTCAACTGAAGATGGCGACACACTGTCCACATCCCAGCCTATAATCATCTGAAGCTGGCGGCACTCTCACCATGTCCCAACAAATGCTGAGGGCACACTGGCCACGTCTCAGCATGTTTGGGCTGATGCTAGACGGCTCTCGGGCCTCGCCTCATCACTCTGCCCGAACTCGGAATAAAATCTGCATCTCTGAGTATGAATTTTCGGAGCCGGGAGCCGGATACTATACCATGGGATCTCGTACCATCCATCTCTGCTAACTCATAGGCCTTGCCTTCAACCTCTCTGATGATCCTAAATGGTCCCATCCACCTGGCCTCCAATTTCTTGGTCCACTGTGTCTCGAGAGATGTATGATATAGAAGTACAATATCTCCGACCTGAAGTCGTTCCTTCCTGATGTACCTCTTGCTGTTGCACCGTGCCTGATCAGATAATCTGTTGTCTGACATCCTCTTTGTGGCCTCAATTATGGCCTCATCCACTTCCTTGATATGCTTGATCCTCAGCCTCAGTAACTCCTGTGTGGAGTACGACTCTCTCTGTGCCTCATGGGTCCAGGTCTCAACTAGGTTCTTAATGGGATAAGTAGCATATCTGCCATACCAGAGTGTAATGCGCGCATAACCTGTAGTCCGTTTGACAGTCACATTGTCAGCATAGACAGTCACCCTCAAGAAAGATGGCCAGTTCTTGGAGTCGCCTTGGCACCATTTTGATATAGCATCCTTTAGTGTCCTGTGACCTCTTTCCGCTGGTGCATTAGCCTGAGGCTGATATGGTGTCACAAATCTGATCTTGACTCAAAGTCTGAACATGAGCCTCCTGACCATCTCGTTCTTGAACTCTGATCCCTAGTCAGCCACAAACTCACATATGAAGGGGTACCTTAGATAAATTTCCTCGATCCAATCTGCCACTGCCTTTGCAGTTTTCTTACGAATGACTTTTGCTTCAACATAACCAGACATGTTATCTCTCATGTTTAGTACATATTTCATTCCATCCTTACCAGGTGGCATAGTAATTAGATCAAGGTGAACAGTACTGTCAGGTTCAACAAGAACCGTGGGGTATAAGCGTTCAATCAATCTCATAGAAGACCTTTTCTGACAGGCTTCACACGACTTACAATATCTCATAACCATATCCCTTAGACCATCCCAGTGATATAGTCGAGATACTTTATAGTATGTAGCATCAGCAACCCTATGACCCGCTGCTAGACCCTCATGTAGTACGGCGATCACCTCTAGTTGCCTTTCCTTACCACACACTACTCTCAGTGGCGGTAATCCTTCCTTAGCATCCACGAAAAGGTGACCCCTACGCAGCCTAAAGGTTCTCTTTATCTTCTCATGGTAGAATTCATCCAACTGATTACTGCTCATTACCATACCGATCCTCTTATATTCCCCATCATACTCATCCTTCTTAAATCTTTCTTCAGCGTCCTTATCTTGTTTCTGATCATCCGGCTCATCCTCTATCTCATTCATCCTTCGCTCAGCCATCCTTGAACTCTCTGCCAGCTCATGAGCTGCAACAGCAGATTGTTCTACCATGCCGTACCATCCTTCCTCCTCATCCTCTCGAGTTAGGAGATAATGAAGGTAAGGGTCTTCCTTTTCTCCCCATCAGTCTTCCCTGCTTGTTGACATGGCTGAATCTGTATAACAACTGGGAGCTGGAGGTAGTCCTTCATCATCGTCTTCCATAAGGAATTCGTCAACGAAGGGTGCCTCCTCAAGAGATTCATCATCTATTGATCCCCATCCTACGCGGCTCAATCCATCGGCTCGATTCTTTTCAGTAGGTACATTTTCCAATACAAAATCATACGTCCATATGTGAGCTATCCACCTACTGACCGTAGCATCTAGCTGTTGATGCCACTTAACAACTCCGATTACCGTCATTGAATCCGTTCTTAGGATGAATCTCCGTCCCATAACATAGTGTCTAAACACCCTGAGATACATAATTCGTATATGAAATCCCTCTCAGCTGGCAGAAGGAAGTCATCAGCCCCTACTTTCATTATCTTGAACCTCTCTGGGGTAACTCTCCCTCCTTTAAATGCAACCTTTCTTAATCTTTTAATTATCTTTCTCTCCTTCTCTAATGCCTCATTGTTATCTTTCTTTGTCAAGACGGCCACCGGATTCTTCTTAACGCCTTTACGCTTATACTTCCTCTTAGACCTGGTGACTATTTTCCTAAAAAAAGACCAGTCGCAGAGAAGGTGAGCTGCATTGTGCCAGCTTTGGCTGCCCTCACAACATCCTTGAACCCTTCCATCTCTCTCTTGTCGTCCAACTCTTTCTCTTTATCCAAAAGCTTGAGCATCTTCTCAATATCATTCACCCTGATCATTATCTTTTCATCTATTATTCCACTTTGTTTCAGTTTTGCTCGTACTTCCTCAATCAACTTGTCAGATTCTCCATGTTTAAGAGAGTTAACATGTCGCTGATGACGAGCGTGATGCCTATCACTTATCACAAAAGCCTATTATTGACCATTGTTAGGACCCTGGAGAGAAAGCCAGGCTGCCCCATCATGGCCAAAGAACGCACAAGCCTCCATTCTATGTAGACAAGGGGCTCCAAAAATGCAGTCTTGATCCAAGTTGGGGACCACAAAACAGAGGATCTCCGCCCGTAAAGTTCCAATCCGGATGGGCAGATCATCAATGAACCCTTCCAATGGTAAGAATCCGGCTATATTGGAGAGCTGGTGGTTGACTTTCCTATCTATTCCAATTCCACATGATCTCATTGTGGCCGAGGACATAAGCACCATCTCAGCCCCAGAGTCCACTAGGGCTCTAACCTTCACGTCATTTACGGTGATATTCAAATATCCGCACGACATATTGCCAAACCTCATCTTGGTACCAGACGGGGCTCTTTCCACATGCTGAGGGAAGAGTCTTAGGCTATTGATCTCTACTTTCCGCCTCTCAACCATCTTCTTAAGTTCTTCTATAATTTTAGGTACCAAGGCTACTGCTTCTTTCCAGGATAGGGTGATCTCGGTCTCCTCGAGCAATTTCTTTACTACTTCATCTATCGAGATCCCTTCCTCGGCTTCGGATCTCAAGACCACCCTTCTCTTCTTCCCGGCAGCTTCCTTTCCTTTCTCTTCCTTCACTAGGTCCTTGGTTCCATCTATCAGCTGGTGTAGCTCTCTTTGAGCCTTCTCTCGCTTTTTCTCTTCGACCTCTTTCTGGCTGATATGAGATACATTCAGACTTTGACTTCCGGGATTGTCGTCTCGAGCCACTATCTCCGGAGGTAGCATATTATCAAAGGCAATAACATTAACTCTAGCCTTCTTCTTTTTATCCTTATTGGCCCTAGCCTGTTCTAGGACAACTGCTCGCATCCCTCCTTTGACTCGGAAATCTATCTTGTTCCAATTGGCATCACGGACGTGCCCATTGACATTCTTCATGACAATCCCTTCTTCGAGTTCCTTCTCTAGTAAAGGACATCGAGTTATAGTATGGCCTTCCTCATCACAATAATAACATCGGAAGGGGTCATCTCTCCTTTGCCAATCTCGGCTCTTATTATCTTTCTTCCAATCCCGGTCGCGCTTTTTCTTTTGTCTCTCTTTTCTCCTTCGCCTAGCGTCATCATCACTACTCTCACCCTCACTTTCACTCTCCTCTTTTTGCTTCTCCTTCTTTTTTTCTACCTTACCTTCTTCGGCTCCAACAAGTGCTTGAGTTGCTGGGGCAGGAAGGGTTAACTTTTCGAAGCTACCAAGCTTAACGAGAAGACCAAAGATCTCTTCGGCCTTCAAGTTTCCTCCCTTAGCTGCCTCAACATTTCCCTCTCTTGCACTAGTGATTGCTTTCATCTGTTCCAGAGACCACTTCCGGTTTGACACCGAAGGTAGTTCACGGACCATCTCAACCACTTCATCCCACTTCAGAGGATAATGAGCAGCGCGGCTTACCACACTTTTTCTTTCATCCTCTGCGAAATTAGTTAGCAGGACATGACACTTCTGGGCCTCATCCAGGAAGGGTACTCTCCGCGCAACCCGCTCAAAATCCTCTAGGAATTGATCAAGGGTTGCATATTTTGAACGTCGCACTTCCAACAAATTTTGCATGGTCGTTGGAACGTCATACTTTGCATATTCTTCCAGCATCTTTTGTCTAAGCTCGACCTATGTTGTGAGTCTTTGTATCCTTTTTGTCACCGACACCCTCATCTTAGGCTCAACATAGGCTAGCAGAGCTTTTAACTTATGTTTGTCCGACCAACCGTGGCTCATACCGAAGACATCATAGTCTTCCAGGAACTCCCTAACCTTGGTTCCATCAAAGCAGGGTATGTTCTCTAGAGGTACCTTAGCTCTTGGAAGGTCAAGACGAACATTCATAATGTTCATCCCGGTCTTCATGGCCTCTATCTTCTTCAACATTTCTTGTAGAACAATCGTAGTGGTCACTTCTCCATCACATGCGGAGGAACTAATATGGTTCTGTCTTGCGTCCGGTCCCCTGACCATTTTATCCGATTTACTGGTTAAACTCCTATTTCTTCCTGAACCTGTTCTCTCTTATGATTGCGTTTAGAATTGGTTCTCGGTTTCTGCCGTCGGTAAAACTTTCCGACAAAACTGGTTCGGGGAACCCGTCAAACACAATCGGAACCCCTTCTCCCTTAGTGAAGGGACATAGGGTCGGATATCATACTTACCAGTGTTGAGGAACTTCACTACAAGGACATACGCCTTCCCAGGGGCATGCTTCTCTTCCAGGGATATGCAGCGCTCTATCTTGTAGGGAAAGGCTCCTCCACTGGTAAATGGAACCAAGGTGTCTAGTGCTGCCGTGACTGCCGGACAGTAACCAGACATTGCCTAGTCCCTAGCGACCCCCATGATCCGTCTAATCCTATCCAGTGCCTGAATCGTCAATGTTGACACTACTCCACTTCCTATCTCTTAAAACGACATTAAGAATAGGCTCCCAGTCCTCACCATTGACGAAGCTATATGGAATAGGAGGACTTGGAAAACCCTCGTACTCAGAAGGCTCCACATTCCAGGTAACTTTCTTACCTTCCTTCTTGAGTTCGTCTCTGTATTTACAGACGTGACTAAGTGCCCACTCGTGACACCCAGTATACCGCCGCCAAATCTTTCTAGTCACTAGAGTGTATATACGTACGTCATATTCATTGGTCTCTAGGAAGCGAGTTACTAACACATCCACTTTCTCCTCTGCTTCAGGTATAGCTACGACAGTGTACCTCTCAATCTCATAAGGAAATGCTCCTCCTACCGTGAGGGGCTCTAAATCCCTGAGTAATCGCGAGATGACCGAAGAATTAATATTTGGTAATTCGCTTCCTTCAGCCTTCTCCCAACTATGCTTGCTTCCTAAGAAACCAGCATAGTCCTCAGCCATAACAAGCTCCTTTCCATTGTCAGGTGAGGGAAAATTCTTAAGAAGCCTCGTCTTGGACTTCAAATCGTCGAACAAAGGTATCGGAAAACAGAATCTTCGGTCGCATGACTAAGTCATTCTCTCTTGCCTTACCAACCACGGCAATAGCTTGTAGAAGAGGCGCTCAGTCTCTCGTGTTAGTAAAGCTATCCGTAGTCAGGAAACCAGGGAGTCTTTCAAATTGCCTGACTCGTTTCCCCCAAGTCACTTTCTCATCCAAGCTTCGAAGTAACTCCGTTATCCTCGATAGGTGAATGTACGCTCTCCTCAGACACTCTAAATAGCCTTCTTCCTCTTTTATTCCTTCCTGAGCATAAATCCTCACGTCAAGCTCGTCAGTCTCGAGAAATTTGACCATTGGAACATAGAATACTAAACGCCCTTCCTTACAGGCGTCGTGTCTCAATATCTCGAACGAGCTATCAATCTCAGTTACTTTATTTAACCATCCTCTACCAATGGTCACAGTCGCAATTGACGTAGAGTTTTCACACTCAAATATTATTGCCTTGGGCTGCTCCTAGCGCCTCTAGCCAGATTGTCCGCATGATGCTGTCTAGATAAAATGGTCTTATCTCTGGCATGCAGCATCACTCTCCTGCCATCCGAACTCTTGCAATCCAGCAAATGCCTAATCTTAGTCTGATCCGTAATTGCTCTAAAAGCAGTCGCCCGCATAAGCTCAAGGTAGTGCTCTACCATGCCACGCCCACCTAGCCTAGTGTCGCATCCTCTCACAGCTCCGATGACAGTCGCTCGTTGCTCATCTAGATAGACCTCGAAGTAGAAGCCCTCTCCGTCATCAGTAGCGTAGACATCTCTTGGCATGGCTCACCACACTCGGTCCCTAAGTACCACGTTGAGGATTGGTCCTCAGTCCTTCCCATCGCAGAAGCTAGCGGGCACAGGCGGACTTGGGAATCTCTCAAACTCTCTAGGCAGAACACTCCAAGTCACTTTCTTCCCTCGTTGTCTCAACAACAGCCTTTCATCTAGAACATACTCAGCAGCAGCTATCCAACATGCCTCGTAATCGATCCCTCTCCTTGTCTCAGCAAATACATATGGCCTCACATCATAGTCATTCGTATCAAGAAACCGTGCTACAAGGACGTACAAGATCACCGAGTCGTGTTCACAAGTCACACACCTCTCAATGACATACGGCAAGACACCCCCAGCTGTGATTCTAGTCAGCGCCTATATCGCTTTCGTTACTGCTCACATTGACTACTTACCAGGTTTGCCTCCTCAGTGCTGCATTGATGATCGGCTGCCAGTTCCAACCATCATAGAATCCTTTAGGTACTGGCGGGGTAGGAATCTTCTCATAAATCCTAGGAAGTAAGCTCCAACTCGCTTTTATCCCTTGCTGTCTCAACTGATTCCTCTCGGCTTTGACACACTCCACTATGACATCCCAGTTGGTAAAGAAACTCGGATCCCGATCAGTCCCTTCTAGGATGTAGGGTCGAATATCATAGTCATCAGTGTCAAGGAATCTAGAGACAAGCACATGCACAGTCGTTGTACTTTTCACACAAGTAATGCATTTGACAAACATATAAGGGAAAGCACCACCGCAGGTGACAAAAGTTAAGGCTTCTAGGACATTATACTCTTCAGTCATCATCTGTTTCTGATTTATGGACTTCTCAAGCGAAGGGTCCAAAAAACAAATTCCAAACCCTTGCTTGCAGGTCTAAATCACTTCAGATAGCTCTCTGCAAGAGGCCCCTCCTCTCGGGGCTCCTGTAGCCAAAAGTCTTTCTGACCTGAGCCAGACCTTGTACTAGATTGCTGCCTAGTCACATAATATTGTGACCAAGGTCCGCTCCCAGGGACTCAAGATTTTTGAGTCCCCGGCAACGGCACAATTTTTGTCGCGCCCCCACTGCTCCAAGGGTCCGGTGAGATGTCCTTCCCCGGGACCGGGCTCAGTGGGTTGGAGGACTGGCAGACTGTCATGCAGGAATTTTGATAGGTATAAAAAATAGAGATGTGTTCAGAGGCAGTCACACTTTGTCATACAACCGAGTAGTCAGGGTTATCCCTCCTGCCAGCGGCGACGCGGCTTAGAGTGAGACGTTCGGGTTTATCGCCTGCACCTGACCCCGTATAAAGGATAGACTCAAGGTCAGCAGAGTTCCTATCATTCAGGAGTCCTTTAAGCTGCCTTGAGTGTAACCTGCATAAAATAATGAGGAAAAATAACAAACATGCAACATAGAGCAATTGACACTGACAAAATGAGAAGATTAGAAACCAGATTCTGCAAGAGTATGACTAGAGATACGAGACTAAAGAGTAGTACACAGAGTATGCAGGGAGCAGCCATCGGGGACTGTAGTCACTAATAAATAATAATGTCGTAATACATCATAGTGACTGACAAGAGAGAATCCTCAATCAATGATAATGAGCGGTACCCCCTCGTGAGTGTGAACTGCCGTCTGGGACTCCACATCTGGCGCCTCGTCATTGAGAAGTCGCGTGGCTATAGACTCTGGAACCATATAGCTGATGTGGAGAGGCGCTGCTGGATCAATCTTGCAGATATAGGCCATGCATCTGGCCATCTCCTTGTCTGCGACGCTCCTGAGGTAAAGTTCCTCCGCAAGAATGATGTCGCCTGAAGCTCCAATCAATATCTCAATACGTCCTCTCTCACCGGAGTAAATGTAGGAAACCTCGAGAAAGCAATCTTCGTAAAGAGGTTTTCGATAAGCCTGCATAGCAAAGTCTGTCCCGACCAAATGACTATAGCCATCTCCGAGGTATGGGATCGGACCCTCCCCTCTTGGGGGACCAATAACTATCTCAGACCTAGGGTCGTTTGACATGTAGGAGTCAATTACCCTCAAGAAGATACTGTGCAAGAATATGTGTGATCCTCCTCAATGTCGCCCTCTGACGTCTCCGCTCACTGGTCTCCAGTGCTCCTGTCGCTGTCCACAAACTCAACCCCTGTGAGTGTCCCAGTCGAAATAGTCGCCCAGATAAATGTCACTCACAGAGTAGGGCTCCAAGTCCGACTCATCTGTCTCCGATCTCTGGACGCATGTAGTGATTGGGACCCTGAATCTGGCTATCTCTCTCCTAATTTGGTCGTCCTTCCGCCTCTTGTCCTTGTTGCGAGATTCACGAAGGGGCATGGGGTTGCACCCGTCAAAATCGAAGAGCACGCCCCCAGGTGCTGAAGGTACGCGAGGGAACACCACATGTAGCCAATTGTCCCTCCAATAGCTCTCCCTGCGAAATATGTAATCGACAATCCTGTCGTATGTGGTTCCCTTCACTCCCGTCTCTGCCCCCTTCACCGAGTAGGTGATCACGAGCTTGTGTCTCGAAGTCGAGGACTCATTAGCCCTGATAGTGAACCTCTGATGTCCCACATGTCTGTAGCAGAACCTCTCAATCAATCTACCCCACTTAGGGGTAGTCTCACGATGTCGGGTCAGCTTGGATGGAATGCACGCTCTCACTGATGCAGATACTCCCTCCAAGACCTGGCGG